TAGAGGAGTTCGATAAGATAGACTCTAGCCTACTGTACCATATACTGGTGGAGAGGGGTCTGGTGGGGAGATGGAATGATGTGCAAAAGAATGAACAAAAAAAACAACCAATAGGCAAAGATACAGAAAAAGGATAAAAAGGTTAGCGCTAATAATAAAAATATAGGATAAAAGGCAGCGGCCTTATAGGGGGTCACCCTCTGACCCTCTACAGTAAGGATATATACAAGAACAAAGAACAAGGCTGCGCCAAAGTGATTAAAACTAGTCCAAGTAAAATAATAGAATGTTGGATAGAAATGTACTCAAATAAAAGAAGTCCCAATAGTAGATGGTGTCTTTAACTGATATGATGTCTTCCTTTTTATGGTGGTAGTCGTCCGTCTCACGATATGAAAGACACAATGAGAGAGAGCCAATAGTGCAGAGTGTATAAATAAGTGGATAAAATTAAAATATAAATTACACACTCACATTTCCATGAGCTAGGACTAGCTCTAGTATGGTGGGCATACGGCGGATAACCCTCCGCTTATTGGGGTGCTTGTCCTCCTGGAGAGTCCTGGTGTCCAATTCTCAGGGAAAGAAAATAAAAACAGCCAATAGTGCTCTCTGGTGAGGTAGTTGGTAAAAGGAATAAAAATAAATAAAATATACTCACAAGTAGAGTGCAAGTCAATCTGCACTCTGTTTTTCGCTTGGGTGGTATAATCCCCACCTTAGGATATGCCAGGAACAGTAAATGAAGTAGAAGTAATAATAAATGTAAAATTATTTATTAGTACAATATATTAAAAACCAATAACGCGTTTCGCCATAGAGGCTTTATCAAATTGGAGTAGTATAAGTACCTGGCAAATAAAGAGTATTTATAGCTAATACAAACATTTAAAATTGGCGCCAAAAAATGATCAACCAATGAGAATAGTCCAAAATGTAAATAAAGAGTTTACATACAAAAGATAAAAATTGGTATAAAATATGAGTGTATATAAACATAAGATGGTAAGTATGTAAAAGTAAATCAAAAACGAGCATTAATTTATATAAAAAGAAGGGTTAAATGAAATGTGCATTTTCGTGCGTGTCACGTGACCCGCAATGCACCATGGGACATGTAGTGCCGGGTCACGTGACCGCCGATTTGTGTATATACACACAGTCCGTGCGGCCAGAGGCAGAGAGAACGGCACGCACGGACTGAGAGGCAGGAGGGCGGGTCCGTC